TCTAATTCACGGGCACGTGACAGTCGTGCCAATGACCAGTCTTACCATGATCAGGGTCGTTCAACGACCCAAGAAGAGGCACGATCCATATCTTTGGTTGATACTCTGCCAGTTGCACCGGTGGTCCCGAGCACTCCTCCCGGAAATCCAACCGCGACCGGGGGACCTGATCTCACCACCCTGGTGATGGCGGCTGCACAAGTTCTGCAGGCTCAACAGTCCCAACAGAGGCGCTGAGCCCGTACCTCACAGGATGAGTGCGTAAAATCTTCAGCCCATCTGCAGCTTCAGAGGGTCTGGACCGATTGCACTTTCATGTTATTGTTGAGTTCTTTTACAGATTTGCGGTTGACTGACCTTTCTGCTGCATGAATGTCTTGATAAGTTGGTTTCGTCAGTCTGTAGCTGCCTTTCTCAAAGCTGAGAAGTCTTCAGTCTAGGTCCATATGGAAACCCCTTCATGGCCATACATGCTGAATTTGGTGCTGGTAATTCTGCTTTGCCTTTTGGCAGTGCGCAGGTTCCTTTTGTGGCAATGCAAGTTTTGGAGAGACCTCTACAGAATGCCAAAGCTTCTTTTGGAAGTTCGCGACGAAATCTTGGCTTTTGCCCATATCACAGACAGCCTCGCTGCTGTCAACGAAGGGCTGGGACAAGTGCGAGAATTTGTAATTCAATTGCATAATGATGCTAGCGAAGCCCTCCGTGAGCCACCACCAGCCAGGATACAGACTTCCCGAGGAGATACGACCCAGTGCCTTCGACTGCTTCAGGAGCTAACGACACTCACTCAGGACCTGGCGCGCTCAGTTGAGCGACTACATCAAACCCAAGGAAGGGTGGAGCATAAAGTCCACCAAGCATCACCGTTGTTGCGCTCGGTGCACGGTATCTTGGCCAATGAATTTCCCCCTGGGAAATTCCGTTGCAACCTGGATGGCACTGAGGAAGCAATGGATGCCTTACGTGAGGACCTGAATGCACACACCGAAGCCTTGCGAAGGTGTATGGACTCAGAGTTGGGCTTGTTCGGGGCTAGAGCTTCGCCGGGTGACTTCTACAACCTGTGCTCCATCATGCCACCTGTGGCGCCCTGGGAAGATGACCCACTCGAAGATCGCCCGGACCTTCATATTTTAGCACTTGCAGCCACTAATGTGCTTCGAGGGCAGTGAATGGTTAAAAGGCTTTTGAGAGACTTTGATGCTTTTTCAATGCATGCTTTTGAGTCGTATGTCCTTCAGGTGTGCAATCATGCGATGCTTGTACTTTTTGAGGCTTCAGGCCCCACTAGACTGATAGTGAACCGGAGTTCGCCTGGTAGCGCAGCCCCTTGCCATGGATATACATACTCTGCTATATGCCTGCGTGACCATTCTCCTTCTGTGGAGTGTGCAACGCTTGTGGGAATTCGCATTGCAAGTGACCTCCCGAGCATGGACTCTGGCAGTACGTCTGAGCAACGTGCTTCAGACTCTGGAGGACACTCACCAGCGTCTTCACTCTTCTGCCGGGGTAGTGGTTGAAGGTTCTCTGTTTTCGGATACACTTTGTGAGAGCATTCTGCGGCTGGTACGGATGAACGACCGTAAGCTAGGGGAAACTCTGGCACAGCAACTTCGGCAACGTGAGGATTTGGAAACCCTCATTCGGCAATTTGGAGATGAATTCAGAAATATTGTGCACGACCTGGGATACCGTATATCCACTTTGGAAGCCTCCATGGACAACTTTGTGGAACAGCTCGAAGCCCATGATGAGAATTTCAAGAGAATTCGAAGAGCCTGTGAAGATCAAACTCTGCATGCAAAGGCTCTTGTAATTAATAATGAAACCAACTTTAAACAAGTCAAGATGTCATTCTCGCACTTAAGATCAGTGCTTGAGTCAGACGTTGTTCCGACACTGAATAGCTTACAAGCTGTTCAGAACGCAACCAGATGAATCACATGCATGTCTTTGCAAACCTAAAAGACCGACTTACTGAAATACTGTTTTCAGTGTCATGTTATATGCAGTTGTTCCGCGTCATGGCTCTAGCAATTCATGCGAACGAGTGTAGTTGAGCTGCTGTTGAACATGGGGTCCTTTCCTTTTCCGCTGCAGGGTCCCTCTGTGAATGAACCCATTCATCTTGATGAGGTAACTAACTCCCCGGACCCAAGCCTTTCCCACAAGCACAGTCCTAGGAAAACGAGAAAGATTGAACGCATGTCCCTTGAAGCCATGCAAACAACTGTATTGGACCCGCCGTTTGTACTTTCTGCGAATCCTCTCTTGAGGCCCATTGAGTACCAAGCCCTCCTGTTACTGAGGCAGGCTGACCCTCCTACACCTCACGATATATATCAGCTTTTCGACATGTTGCCATCAACATACCTCAGACGAAGCACTAAGGATGGGATCAGGTACTTTGGGATCGGGGCAAATCCCCGTAACTCACAGTGTCTGCTCAGCTTTTCCATTGACATGCCGTTCATGACGCTCGCTATTACTAAGATGGTTGCTTATGTGTGTCCTTCTTTTCGGTTTACTTGCTGTATTCTGTTTCGAGGGTGCAAGGCCCGGCCTCATAGGGACACTAATAACGGGAGTAATCAATCGTTGATTATGCAGCTCTCACCCCCTATTTCAGGGGCAGGCCTTTGGATTCAGGACCCGTGTGGGGATGTGAACATGCCTCACCCGGGGGCCCTAGTTAAAGGTAGGGTAGTTTCGATTGACAAGCCCTTTGTTTTGGATGCTCGCAGGCTCCTTCACGCTGGGATTGTTCCCCCCACCGCTGACCCCTCCTCGAGAGTTATCCTAGTTGCCTTTAACTCTATTCATCTGAGCACCCTCCATCCTGAAGTCGTGGATCAGCTACTTGACCTAGGGTTTCGGATCAATTCCAAAACTGACCTCCGCGAATCCCTAGAAGGCCCCTGCCGTTTGAAACAGCTCACCCTTCAGGAGTTTCTGCAGCTTCCGCCGTCTCGAAAGGAACCTCACGACGTGATCGAGGTGCTGGACAGCCAGGAGGATCTTTGAACCGACCCTGAAACCCCAACGAAACCCAGCTGTGTGGAAAACATTCTGGGTGACGATTTGGCGCCGGTCTTGATGATGATGCTGCTGCCCTGCCTGTAATCTGAGTTCAACTTACTATGGCATAGCACTTCATTTCCAGTTTGGGATAACAGCCAACCTCTGACACACAGCAGCTCTGTTTCACCTGCCTTGCCACGCCATGACTTACGGACTGCTTCGAAGAATTCCTGCATGGACCGACGATGGTATTGGAATTCAAGAATTCGTGGAGACTATGGAGGACTCTGCATGCCCCAAACTCTTCGCGACCAATGTCAGTGGGTTTCTGGCAGAGCTGTGGCGGCTCCCCGAGATGGAGCATCTGACACGGATGCCACTTGTGGCATCGTATTGGCGACGACTAGCGCAGAGATGCGAGGAGATGAGGGCACTGAACCTCCGCGCTGCACGGAAGCCGCCTCCGGAGTTTTATTCATCTTTGATGGTGGTTTTTGAACGAATTCGTCTACGCACGTGGTTTTTGTATGTGGACACTGAGCTGGCACCTACGCCACAACATACCCAGCTCCGGGCGTAATAAAAGTGTGCTGGGATCGAGGGTCTGCCACAGACATGAGAATGTGAGACTTTCTGGATGCAAAGTGCTGAATTTGAACATCTCTGGATGCAAACACCACCTGGCCACTGGATACACATCACCTACATATTGCCGTGGTTGTTGGACATATCACTGCATGGTCTTTTTCCGGCATGACGGTTGCATGGATCTTCCTGGAGGCCACTGACTCTGGGAATTTTCTGCATGCGAGAATGCACATTGCATGGTGAATTTGAGATATGGTCCGTTCTGGTCCACGAGTGGGCAACTGGGATAGGCTGTATTATGGCATGGCTGAATTTGAGCATCGCTGGATACAAACACCACCTGGCCACTGGATACACATCGCCTGCATGTTGACGTGGTTGCTGGATGTATCATTGCATGGTCCTTATTCCGGCATAAAAAAATACATGAATTTTCTTGGAGGTCACTGCCTCTGGGAGTTTTCTGCATGCGAGAAGGCAAACTGCATGATGAATTTGAAACATGGTCCGTCCTGATCCACGAGTGGGCAGCTGGGGTAGAATGTATTACTGCATGATATTGGCGATTTGCTTTTTGCATGGTTTTATATTTGCTTTGCTCTGCACAACCTCTGTCCTTAGAGCTGAGTGCCGGCTGCGTGGTGAATTTGTGAGTGAGCTCGCCTTAGCCTGCGAAAGCGAACTGCGGGGTGTACTATGGCACGCTGTTCTCGGGACATGATGCCTTCTGCATGGTAGACAAAGTCCACACGGCAATGTGTTTTTCTGCATGGGTTATTCTATATCTATGCATGGCAAGCCGATCGAGCTCTCGCTGATGGGGCGCGGCTCTTTGGTCCCCATGCTGGTGGATGGTGAGATTGTTGCATGGTGCAGGGTGCATGTCCTGGTTTTGCAAAACACGCATGGACAGCTGCACGACTGGACAGGTGTGAATGAACTAACGTGGTGGTTTGTCATACTGCATGTTGCAACCTCTGAAGCCTTGGAGCGATGTGAGTTGGTGGTAGTACCGAATGCTGTTTCACGGGGCTCCTGGAGCACGGAACTAGGGGGTGGGTTCTTTCGGTTTAGCGTTTGTGCTCTGGGAGTCTGCTGTCAGTTGGGATCTGTGTTATGCTTGGACACTTGGCGTTGGTGTTTCTGGGATCTTGTCTGACAGCACCCTGTGAGCTAATGGGCTTGCGGGCAGTTAATGACCATCGTCGTACCTACTTCTGCAGACCTTGCCAGGCTAGTCCGAGAGTGAGTGTCAAAAAATCCACGAAGATGACGGCAAAGGAGCAGATTTGCAGGATCTGCCGTTGGGGAGGGGGGATATGCCAAGTGGGATTTCGCTTAGTGCACGTGCGAACCGATCCACAGTGTCGGCTGCATATGGCTGCATGGAGACCAACGCCGTGCCAACGTGAGGCTGGGGGAGGCATACGTGCCGCCGGCTGCCACAACCCCTCCGACCTCATCCAGGGGGGATGCGAAAACACCGCTGGATGCCAAGACCGCCTTCCGAACCCAATGGGGATTGCACTTGCTGTTCGAACCTGATGCTTTGGACCTATGGATACAACGCCAGGTGGAGACCCGAGAAGGCGGGGGATACCGTGACATGGCCACGGGGGAGCTGCTGGGAGCAAGTGAGGAAGCCTCTTACGATAGGCACAGGACCGGCGAACAAGCAGACCGCCTAGTCGGTATCGTTGACAAATGGCTGCCTGATGTTTCGGCAGAAAACAGGGCGTTCGTAATGAAGTTCCAAGAGAAAGTGAAGACCATGCTGGCCAAGGCATGGAAGTTGCGCCGCAAGTTGAAGGCAAAGAAAAAGGAAAGGAAAAGATGCAGGGGGGAACGCGATGCCGCAGAAGCCGCTACACTGCCAACGAGTGTGCGAGAAGAGCAGGTCGGGGGGACGACCCAGCAACATCCTCCACCATACCACCGCTGACTCGGCGTCAGCGGAGTACCCCAAGTGCCACAGCGGAAACCGAGCCGCTTGCGCAAAGAGCACCCAGTGTCTCTGAGGAGACGCCACCTGACTGGGGGAGCGCCGACGAGACGTACAATGGCCGTGGGGAGCTGAGGGAAGACCGTCTGACCGAGATGCAAACCAAAGGCGTCCTGCCGAGCCCGCGGGGGAGCGACCGGCCACGGGAACCACAGCAAGAACAAGAAGGAGACCGAAGAAAGCCAGCTGAACCAGAAGGGGGACCGAGAACTAGGCGACCCAGTGAGCCAGAGGGGGAGCCGCGGACCAAGCGTATGCGGCCACCTACACCTACAGGAGGACCACAAGGGACCGGGCGGAGACCGACAATCACCCTGGTCCCGAACCTGCGCTGGCAAGTACAAGAGGTTCAGCAACACATGGCACACCGCAGAGGGGAGATGACAACAAGGTCCAGCGCTGAGACGGAGTGAGCGCGGCAGAAAAAGTTTTCCAAGTGACGGCCGAAGAGGGGGAATGAGGGAGGGAGCTAGATTCGGTTTGTACTTTGTTTCGGTGCTTTGTTGAGTGACCCCCCTCCTTTCCACGATTGAGTGTAGAGGCCGAACTTTTACCCCACCTACGGACGCACGGGGGATTTCTTCATAAGCCTTGCCCTTGCCGGGGGATTGCACGTTGGCATGTATCTCTGTACCAGACCTCTACTTAGACCCTTTTTGAACAACGCTGTCACGACTTGACAGCCTCCTTCCGCCCTTTTGCAAATTCGCTGCAAAACCGTCACCTTGACGATGTCTGATCCGCCCTTCTGCAACAAATTCGACACCCCCCCACTGCTACATGACGGCAGGAGGGGAAATTCAACCGGCTTTTTCATGCCCTCCCGAACCTACTATAGGCTAAGGATCGTTAGCCACAGGGGCGCGGGGACGAGGCGGGGGTTGTGTTCGTGTTTAGTGTTCGGGAGGGCTTTTTTGCTTGTGAACCCAGAACACACTGGGTAGTACAGTGCCGTAATCAGGATTACCCAATAAACCAGCCACTCCACAATACAGGGGGTGGTTGGGCGGGCCGAGTGCCTTGGGGTCGCATGCGACCCTTAAGCCCAGCAGAAAGAAAGAAAAAGTTTGTCGTCCGTGTCCACGAACCTGCTGCCAACAAGCAACACACCACCAAACCACTCAGAGTAGCGAAAACTGTTACACACCGAAACGGGGACCCAAAGAACTAGGGAACTATGGCCGGGCAGTCGCGCTCTTACTATAGGGTTCCTGTCCGAAGGGCAAGCCGCAAAGAGAAGTCACGGCGGGCCGGTAGAGCAGAAAGAGTGGGAGTCGGAGCAAACGAGCTGGACAAGGCGGGACACGACTTAGGGGGTCACACTTTTTACCCCGGAGGTGGATACTGTTTCGCACCGGCTTGCCGGTCCAGCTCCGCTGCTCCACGTCTCACCACCACACCTGACTCGGACACACAGCGTGGCGCATTGCGCAGGGTTCCGGGGTCTTTGGCCCCTGGGCCCACACGCTGAGCAAGCAAGCAAGAGAGAGAGAGAGAGTCACTTCGCAGAGTCATTAAGTGGATCCCCCTTCACACACACAAGCAAAGATTTGAGCGTGAGGTTAATGACAGGCATGGCAGGCGAGATCCTTTCCCGCGGTAAGCATGCGAAGTATTCATTGCTTCTGCGATGTGCCAAAACAGTAGTATGACGGGGAATATTGCCAGTAATCCGAAGGGGGGAGGTGTGGAAAAGAAAGTATAGCGGATCACCCATAACAGCTCAGGTTCGGCCTCAAAAGCCTCGGCCCAGGGACCCTGGAGGTGCATTGTGCCAAGCATCCGACAAAGAACTTCTTTCGGGGATGCCTTGAAGGCCCGGCATCCGTCTTAAGCTTCGCTGCGCAAGCGGCCGCAAATGCCAAGAAGCGGCGCAAGGCAGGCAGCCGGCAATTTTGGCCCCTAGTTTGAGTTTACCCACTATAGACATGCGAGAACCCACCCTTCAGACCGCCTCATGGTTGTACCGCTCGTGTTCATAAGCCGAAAACCTTGAGCCTCGTTTCCGAGACGAAACCAGCGGAAGCCTAGCAACTTGGAGGGGTTGCCGGAAATTGAATTGCGTTATGTATTGGCTTGGTGCATCATGAAAGGTATTTCATTCAGTTCGAAGCCTGAGACTGCAGGGGCGCATGACTGCACAGGGGAGCATTGACGATCAGAAAGCTCCACATCGATAGCCTACCCTGCAGGACTCCTGAAAGCATTCGCTGGGGGTGTCAGCCGCACCAGTGAAGCCTGTCCATAGTCCCTTGGCACCTCTCGGTGCCTGGTCATGCTGTGCAAATTTGCAAACGCATGTCCCCTTTCCCTCGCAGGCTCACTTTGCTCTGACTGAGTGTGTACAGGAATGCCGCACGGCGGTGGGTCGCCGAAAATCGGTACGTATTGTGCTACTGCGTCGCCTGCATTGACCAACATTTGTGATGAGATCTTGTGCCCGAGGTAGGCCTCAATAGGGAACTGATTCAACCCACATCAGGTCGTGTGGGAGCCCTTGCGCCGTGGCTCATTTCGAGTGTTGGGCAGTGGGTGGCAGGTGGCAGCTGCCCCGGAGACATCGTTCTGATTCATGATCAAAGTTGTCCAGAAATGCCGAGCTGCTAACTGAGTTGATACCTGCTCGCGGAAGTCATGGAGGCACAGGAAGCGGATCCAGTAAGTCCAGTAGGGAAATGAAATTTGACACTCCACCCGGAATGTTGAAACCTACAGGCTCCATATCCGGGACAGCGACGTTGACCATACAGATCCAGAACAAGGCAACGGAGCAGTTTTAGGAGCGCGATTCTTGCGGCGGTTCGTTCTTGCGTGCAGGTCTTTGCGGGAGAAGATGCTGAGTTGGACGGCGAAGAGTGGCATCCATTTGAGGTGCAGAAGTGTGTGAAGTGAGGAATCACCAACCGTCAGCATCGGATGAGTTCCTTTTTGGAGCTGAGAAAGGCTGCCTCTGCCGAGAACACATCCGTGGAAGCATCAAGCACCCAAGTGCCCCAGCTGGATCCGATAAAGGATGCGAGTTCCATCCACGACTGAAGGAATTAGTTCATCTTGGTTAGTGAACTAGAATTGCAAACATTACATGTTGTTCCAGATAATGAAGCAAGAGGTGGATGTCCTTGCGGAAAAATTCTCTCGTGCCGGATGTACATCTACGTTCCTCGCTAGGGTGAAAAGACAGCGAGGTAGACGTCGTAGTGTAAATCTCAGCAAGTCTAGACTTGCGTTTGGGTTCGCAACACTTTGCTGCCCAGGTGAATCCCATTGCCGAGCCGAGGCGCCGGACGAACGTTGATTTAAATAAGCGATACGTTTTGTGCGAGCGCCGCGCACTGGAACGAATAGCTCTTGCAATCATAAGTTTCTCCTCTGCATTGTGATGTAATTGGGGTTTCTCTGTTTGCGAGGTATCTTGATATTTGCTCAATGCCCAAGGCTCCGATGTGCTGTGCATTGTCACATGCGCGCACATTCTCCCCAACTTTGCTACCGAAAGTTGTATTGTAAAGGCAACGAAGGAACACTTGAAGCCACTGCCATATTTGCGTGTGCCGTTGATAGTTCTGGACCGACTATTCACGAAGTGGAACACATGCATTCTTTGTTTCATGTCGTTGCTGCATTCACCATTGTCGCCTGTTTCTGCGCGTTGCACTGCACACCGCATGTGTTGGCATTTCCAACTCGTCGCCTTCGTGACTTCCTGAAGCTCCCTCACATTCTGCAAGTCTGAGGGGGAGTTTGCAAAGAGCCAGACGGGCCTCAATCAGTACGTGTGCTACGCCTCTTCATGTGTGGGCCTCGTGGACACTCGTCTAAGAAGGAATGCCTGGGAGGCCACCGCCACCGCCAGACTTGGACGGTGGTGCGTTTGAAGAGCCTCCACCGCCTCCACAGGCTCGCCGAAGACAACATTAACAAGAAGTCGTTCCATCCCTTGGCCGAGTTTCGCACTTCTCGTGGTCCGGAGGTGTCATCATCCGTGCCCGGTTCAATGAAGGAGGCTTGCGTGTTATTCTGGTTCTTTGCATCTTCTCTGCTCGACAGTGTTCAGCTTCTGCGGGCACAATATCCATCGTTTGACTGAACTTTTCACCTTGTACATGGTTGCCAACTTTCCACCTCAAGCGATGAAGGAACCGCCACCTGCGCCCAGTTCGCCGCAAGCACAGATCAGAGGGACTGGTATCTTCTGCGGGAAGTGCTCACTCGCCGCAGTCCTGGGGCTGATGTACCGCGTCAGCTCATGGCCGCAACCTCGTTGATGTGCTGCCTGCACCCTCTTTCATGTCCAGTCGGCTGCAGCTGAGGACGAGCATGTTCGAGCACGCGCTTCCTGCTGTGTTTCATACCGGCGTGCTGCGTCCAAGCTCCATTCTGCTGTCGTGGCAGGCATGCAGTGGATAGGTGGCAAAGCAGGGCTTCCTGCCTGGATGCTCAGTACTTTATGTCTTGTACCGGGAAGACAGCTGAAAAGCGTGTTGTGCGGCATGCATACATCACTTACTGCACATGCAACGTCTAAATCACCTCAAATACCACCGATATTCGATGTGCTCCGTGTACAACAAGCAGGCTACGTGGCCTCCCCCGGCTAACATCTAGACCCCGAAAGGCAGAAGCCCTACATGCAATTATGTGCTGCTAACACCACAGTCAGGGCAGCGTGATGGCAGGTTCTCCTGCAAGTAAAAGTCACCACAGTCAAATCGATGTGCGAGATCAGCTACGGCCTACGGGTAGGTCATACTGAACCGAGGCCGAGGCCGACCACGATGCAGCCGGGAAGCTGCGAGCCAAGTTCTGTTTGGTGAGTGACATTCCGATGGCCGCAAGCTACTGGTCATTGGTTTATCTGGCATGAAGCCGCACACCGCATCCTGCGCTCGCGGCATCAGAGTGGAATCGGACATGTCCGCATGTGACTTCATGCTTGTTTGCCGCTCAGGCGACCGAAGCGGTCCAAAGAGATGTCTGAGGACGTACCTCCGAACTGCACTGCCACGACTAGACCAGGCATGTCTTTCCTGCAGAAGGTGGCGCCGGCTGCACTGCCCACAGCGCGAGCAGCCCAAGCAAAAGCAGAGGCAGCACAACACAAGACAGCAGAGGCATCACCCCAAGCAAAAGCACGCGCATCGCCGCCGGCCAAGCACTCCAATCCAGTGCTGGATCCTAAAGTCGCTGCTGCTTGGGGGCTGCCGCATCTCGGATTCACAGCTTAGGCCGACCCTCTGAACTTTTAAGTGTTTTCAGGAGTCACGTGATTGCATCCGAGGAGCTTGCAAAGTACAGCAGACGGCATTGCTGCAGAACTCCCCAAAGCTTTGCCCTCGGCAACACAGTGCGAGTCTTCAGCGTGTTCGGTGCATGGCCGACTCCCTCAAAGTCCCGTGAGGTGAACCTGGACAGCTTGAAGCCCAGGTCTTGTTTCAACAAGCTGGATTGATTTCTCCTCTTGGCCCAAGGCGACACGGCAGAAAGTTTGAGGCGCGCAGGAGATATCTGATCTGCAGGTTCTCGCTGATGAGATATCACATTCAGTGGCAAAACCTTTTGTTCGTGCAGCAAGCCACGTACGCAATGGAATAGACTGTCCTGCCGGGTTCCGGCAACACAGCTTTGCTGGTGGCAGGAAAAACCAAAGCCACAAGCAAAGGGCTGTGAAGGAAGCGGACGACAGGGGCAATTTTTCGTGCACGGACCAGAAGCTTTGCCGCTCGCTCATGAACTCGTCTCGAGGAGAGCGAAAGATGTGAAGATGGCGAGCTTTTGAAGACCAAAGCCACGCACAAGAACAAGAAAAAGAAAGGGGAGAAGAAGATGAAAGTATCGAAGGCTAATGTCGGGTGTGAGCCTAGTGTTTCGCCGAATCAATAGCATGGAGGTCGATGAGTCCACGAGCAGGACATCCGGTGCCGACCTTGGGCTGATCAATCATTCAGCCCACGTGCACCCGATAGTTTATTCGACATGTTTAGCGCCGGATCAACGCCAACGTCGTGCTTCAAGACGCAGAGATAAAACTCCTATGCTAACCCTGACAGGACCACACGGAAGATATGTTCTAGTGAGCACGAAAGAACCAGATAATCTAAGAAGGAGCTAGCAGTGCTTGGGTCTTCAGGGCAAGCCAGTTCAATGAGCCTTTTCTTGTGTATTTATTGTGCAGCACATCACTAGGCACCTTAACCACATTCCATGTTCCCAAAGCGCACTGGTGAGTATGGCATGCTGAGGTTGACAGTGTATCGCTTGCACAGAGCTTCGTAAAGTTGGATGATGACGATGACCCTGCGCGTTTGATAAGCAGTCTGCTGAAGCTTGCCGCCGCATTACCTGAATATCATAGGCTGAGGGCTGGGGGGGTCGTACAGCAAAAGTCAATGCTGAAAGCAGTGTGACCTTGGATTGCGGGTTCTTGTGTTCTTGTTCGCTCCTTTCTGGCACTATGTCACGTAAGATACCGGATGAAAATGCATCATGCTTAGGTCGAAAACGGAAGCAAAAAGACAAAAAGTCACGGCTCAAGTCGGTCAAGGACAAAGCACACGACTGGAGCTTGGTTCCTGCTGGTGGCCATTATGCATGAAGCCCCGAGGTTCATCATGATGATCACGCTTCAATTCATGCATGTAATGTAGGCATGACCACAGGAGAGAATCGCTGTTCTCGCCGTGTGAAGGAGAGCAAGACGTCAAAGTCGAACGGAACGACGGGGCTGTCTCAAAAGAAGAAGAAGGACCGGCCGAAGCAATCCGAATTGGAATGTCGTCAACTTGTAGAGAGTATAATAAGTACTATTCACTTGCAGCGGTCACACGGGCTTGTGGCTGGCATGCCGCCAGAAACAGATCATGCCTGGCAATATTTCCAGCTCGAAAAATAACTGGTGCAGTAACCTGCTGCGGTTGTGGGTGCCTCACCATGACTTCCTGGTGCCATGGTGCCGCACTGCTGTGAACGGCTTCAACCTGTCGCCTCTGTAGACTTTACCCGCGCACCCAATGGGTTTCGTCCCCTGTGATGGCAACAACAGAACCCGGCTGTCGCACAAGTTGAGCCAGGAACTTGCCTTTCGTAAAGCTGCTCGAGCTGTCCGGTTCTTCACTGCACTATTTGCTGCCCACGAACCTTCTTCTCGTGCCTTCGTCACAAACTGCCTGCAGTATACAAGCTCCGGTGTTGAAAACCTTGCCCTCTGAATGTCAATGCACCGACATCCGACATGCGCAGGACTCCTGGGGTACTTCAATCACTACTTTGACAGCAGCTCTTGCAGATGATGTGCCTCGTTGTGCATGTGCTGTGAGTAATGATCTGGAGTAGGAGGGCGTGGGATACACCCGGGCGATAAGGTCTCCGACGACCCGACTCAAGTTGCAGAGGCAGCGAGTTGGGAGCAGAAGGGAACAAGTTGCAGGTTTCGTCCGCGTGTCGCACATGCAGTCTTGTCGTGGCTTGTTTTCAGCTGTATGCACTGACTCCTTCATTATAGAACCGTATAGCTACAGTGGTCTTCGACCGGAGTCTATCTGCGATTGGGATGTGTTTTTCCGAAGGAGTCAGATGATGCTACGCAGATTGCTGACGAGGCTTGACATTCTGTTTTGTGGTGTAAGTCCTTGTCTAGCTGCGCACCACCTGAATGCCTACCATGTCGGTTCTTAACTGCAGCTTAGCCCGGAGCCAGCAGGATCTCGAGCCAACTTCACCAGCCTGTCCGCCTTCATCTCCGTCCGACCAGATGGAGGAGGCTGGGGGAGCCTTTCCCCACTGATGATACATTGTTGAAGTTCTTGCTCACCGCGCATTTGCACATGCGAGGTCCGAATGGCCGCGACGGTGATGAAGCCCCAGAGAAGAGATGGCAAAATGCGTGTGCAAATCATGCCTGTTTCTCGAGACATGGATCAGTTGTACACGTGATTGGCAGTTCGTGCCCACGAAGCTTGTCAACATTGTACTTAAGTTGTACTCATCTTGGTGTCCCTGGAAACAGCTAATGCTGGATTTTAAGGTTGATATTTGTGCTTTGGCGTGAAGATCTTTGTGCTAAATCAATGTCGTATGCAAGGTTAACGGCTGTTTCCTAGCCAGTATGTGTGCGCGAAAGCTCCCCGATTGTGCCGCGCAAGTAAACTTTCTTTGGCGTAAGGTTCGCGACTGCTCCTACTGCTACCTCTGCCACTGCCAATACTACTGCTGCTGCTGCTGCTATGACTGCCGCTAATACTTTAGTACTAACACTAATAGTAGTGCCAGCAGCAGTAGTAGTAGTACTACTACTACCACCACCACTGCCACGACCACGACCACGACGACCACGACTACGACTACTGCTGCTAATGCTAGTGCTGTTGCTAATGCTACTACTGCTGCCACTGCTACTACTACTACTGCTGCAGCAGCAGCAGCTGCTGCTGCTAGGCCACGCGCCCCTGGTGCGACGCCCTATCATAAATGTCATTAGGTGTTTGGCTTGGATGGTCTGTTCTCAAACACACTAGCCCATCGATGTCATCACGTTTCGTGCGCTGTTCTCCAACACAGTAAACCATGAATGTCAATAGGTTTTTGGCATGGATGCTTTGTCCTCAAAAACAGTAGAACATGCATGTGACTAGGTTTTAGGCATGGATGCTTTGTTCCCAGACAGCAAAGTGCTGTAAATACCAGCATTTTGGGGCACAACGAGGAAGACCAATGTTCAACAAGCAGCGAAAATAGCAAAAACCTTGCTTTTGTACCAAGTTTCAATCGCATGAGACATTGGATGACCATGCAGAACACGAAGACTAAACAAAAACATCCTTCATTCTGATCGCTAGCTTTTGGGCATGAAAACCGAGACCCCGAAAAGCAGCAAAAGCCATGACAATCTCAAAGACGAGTTCTGTAAAATGCTGGCCGTGCCTGCGACGAGCGAGTGTGCGAGTCGAAATGGCAGCATTTTTGGCTGCGGGATTTAAGAGCAAGGTTTAAAACCAGCAAAAAGCAAGCAACAACCCACGCGCTTTCGAAAGTTTCAAGAGCGAAGGCTGTGAACCACTGCATTCTGGCAACACGAAGGCTGAAAATTGTAGGTCTTGGCGCCGCACCGGGGGCGCCGGCCCTACTACTACTGCTACTACTACGACTGCTACTACGACTACCACCGCTACTGCTACTCCTGCTGCTATTACTACTACTACTCCTGCTGCTACTACTACTACTACCCCACAAGAAGTCGTTGACTGAAGTGGCGCATACAGAAATTGCCTCGATTGAATTCACAAGTGATTCCCCTATAGCCTTGCTTCGCAATTCATCAGCCATGCAAGAGGCAAAACTACTACTGCTACTACTGAATTCTGGGCATTTTGCCGTGCTTGCATGCTGGGCCAGGGTAACATATCCTCAATGCCCCTGAATCACCGACTTGTCTGCCGTAACCTTGCTTCGTGATAATCAGCCATGCAAGAGGCAAAAACTACCACTACTACCACCACCACGTAGCGCTGGGAATGAGCCGATCAGGGTTGCAACCATCTTGCCAGTCTTGGTCGGTGGCAAGATTGCTCCCCCCACCCCCCTGCCCCCCTCCTCCCCCCAAGGGGTGCCAGCGAGGGCCGTCAAGCTGACCAAGACTGGCAAGATGCTGCCGGGGCACCAACCGTTGTTTCGGAGGCTGCTACCAAAGCACCAGAGACCGAGAAGCCTGCTGCTGCCGGGGCACCAAACGTTGATGAGGATGAGGCTGCTACAGAAGCACCAAAGACCGAGTACCAAGCGTTGATGAGGAGACTTCCGCAGAAGCACCAAAGACCGAGGAGCCTGTTGCTGTGCCAAAGGTTGAGGATTGCAACGAAGAGCCAGCTGGCGAAGCTTCAAAAGCTGAAAGGCTGCAGCAGAGCCTTCGGAGGTTTGCTAGAAGCCTTTTATGCGGTTGGTGAGAGAGAGCTGGAATCTGACACTGCTACTTGCTAGTTGCGGCTGCCGGTGGTGGCGGCGACGGCACGCTCGCCTCGGAGCCCAAGGTTTTGCTCTTCAAGGCAAGGTTTGCAAGGGCTTTCTGGAGCAAGAGGTTTTTCTGGATGAGGGCGGGTGGTTGCATTTCGACTGTGGTGCCGGCATGCTTTCAGCAGAGGGCACGCGAAGAAATAACAGAGTCCCCCCGGCATTTACCATGCTCGTTATAATTTGTGCCAGAGGGTACGCTCAATGACAAACCAATCCATGATGACAGTTTGCAGTTTGCCCACCCCGGCAGCGAGTGCTTCTTCCGCAACGAACAGTGCTGCCCCTGCCGATCTACTTCTGAACTCTGGAGTTAATACGGCACGATACACAGGACACAACGAGAATTCTTCTTCGTAACCGTAACAGAAACAACAAGAACAACAATAATGCTTACCCCTCCCACCCTCACCCGTCTGTCTGTACACAACTGTTCAGATAGAAACCGGCTTGGCCATGTTTCTGCGAGAACTCCTTTCTACATATCCTCTGAGCTTTCGGTTTTTCCAGTGTAAGGCTTCTGCTCATTGAGCCTTCACATTGCGCATTAACCTCAGCTCCGACCCTGACAACACGTCCGTTTACATGGCAGTCAGGTTCCTCATGAACATAGCTTTCCTAAAGTGCAATCACCGAAACTGCAAAGAATGCTGCAGGAATCTGGGAAGAAGCAACATGGATTCGGTAGCAGCCTTCTTTGAGTCAACCTTCGAAGTTGGCAACGCCATCCCATCCCAAGCCTGCCTGAGGCATCAGAAGAGGCTTTTTCGGCTTTAGTTACATGTTTCATGCGATACTTCATTGTCGACAGGCAAGAGCAGAGTGGACTGGAGGGGGCTTGCCCGGCAGAACTTGGCCGACGCATACATGTGCAAATGACAAATATACATATACATCCACATGTACATTTGTCTACATACATGCACATATATACATATACGTGCATATATATATATATACATATACACACGTATGGATACAGCCGTGAGATTCCTTTCAGCAGTCTCTCACAATAATTGTTCTGGGCTGCCCGCCTGCTGCCATGATTCGCTTCTGCACTTTTTGGGTGCTGCTCTTCGTCTTGGCATGTTGTCTTTTGCAGCAAGCTTTGCGAAAAACTCTACAAGTCAGCTTGGTGGCTCCGTCGCTGGGAGAAGCATCGGAAAGAGTAGAAGGATCTTCCAGCACCGAACGTCGTGATCACGGATCTGCTGGGTCGCAGGCGTCGCTAGTGCAAGGAGAAGTCCCCGGCCGCGCCCGTGGCGCCCGTGTTTCCGTTCCTTCATGCCATGGGTGTCGGGGTGGAAGCCTCGGTGATTTATCAACGCTGAAGGCCACAGGTCCTTTGCGGCACGTCGTCGTGTCCATGGCGAGCCGGGAAGTCGACGTCCTGGCGTTCCTGGTGCTTGCGAGATCGCTGCGTGCCGCTGGTCGCTTCTCAGGCGACATAGTCCTCATGTGGTTTGGCGACCCCAAGACAGATATCTCTTGTAGGCACAAACAAGCGATGGAAGAGCTTCATTTCAGAGTTGTGTGCGTGCGCCAGCCCTTGCGCGAGACAGAAATTCACAGCAGTGTGACCGGACGTTCTTGGGATTGGGTGAAGCTGCTAGCATTCACGCTGACCGGCTTTGACTTGGGAGTTTTTCTCGACGTCGACATGATGGCAGTTCGTCAAATAGATGAGCTGTGGAGCGGCTTGGGTGCAGGAGGCGCGCAGACGCAGCTGGCCTTCGTGGATGGACCCAAGTCGCTTCTGAATTCTGGGATCTTCGTATTTCGGCCCAACATGGAAGACTTTACTGGGTTGACCAATCTCGTGCGCCGGGGCCAGTACTCCGAGCTCGATGGCTGGAACCATGCAGGCATCGTTTCAGGGAAGAGCAACCATTGGGATGAGTGCCAGGGCTTGCTGTACCACTATTTCGTTCAGCTCCGCAGGGGCGGTGTGCAGCTGTCACGAGAAGTTTGGGGAGCAAGCCCATATGCCTTGTCAGGTAGTGCCGGCATTGTTCATTTCACCGGCAACTCCAAGCCCTGTGTGCTTGCCTCCATGAAGAAGCCAGGACACACCGTGAACGACGAATCCCTGCAATCTTACGTTCAGTGGTATGACTACTTGTCCCAAACAGTGGATGCGGACACCATCGCTAGCTTGTCGGCGGGAGCTTGTGAAAGACCCGTGCGGGCAGGGTCTCGTCCCCTACGGGCACCAGGCAACTTAGCCACCAAATCTCACTGGGAAGACCATGCGCCACTGTCGCCCGGGTCGTCTGTAGTCGTAGTGACACAAGCCGAGTACGACGGGACCGTGGCCTGTTCGTTCGTTAGCGAGAGCACCGAGAAGTCTGTGTTTTGTGCGCAAGAAGTCGCCGAGCACACTCTGGTCAAGCGCTGGATACCGCGAGATGCAACGGTCTTAGAAATGGGAGCCCGGTATGGAACGACTTCTTGTGCCATTAGCCAGGCCCTGGGAAACTCCGGTAAGCAGGTGGCTGTCGAGCCAGATGAGCGAGTTTGGAACGCCATTTCACAAAACCGCGCGACCCACAACTGTAATTTCATTCTTCACCGGGGCATTCTTGGCGGGGGTGGCTACGTCCTGAGTGGCTTGCAGTATGGCAAAAGGGCCCACCGCGAAAAAGGCATCTCTGGCATACCACACCTGACCATGGCAGAAGCAGAGCAGGCGTATGGCCTGCGCTTTGACACTCTGTTGATTGACTGTGAAGGCTGTGTCAACAGCTTCTTGAAGGAGAATCACGACGCGTTGACGAACATCCGGCTTATTCTCCTTGAAGCTGATCAGCCGAAGACGATAGACTATCGGAAGGTCATCGCGAACCTGGCCAAGCATGGTTTCGAAGTGGTTGACAAGTTTCAAGAGCTAGACAGACCAAACAAGCTGTGGCACTATGCGTTCAAACGCAGCCAGTAAAAAAAAAGGCTCAAGTCTTGGATCGTTCCCCAAAGCCGTGATGGGATGCAAAGGTTTCGGATATGTTCCCTAAGAAGCACTAGCCGAGCCCACCTGGTGTAACCAACCTTCTGCTGGCGTTCCCGGTCCAGCAAGGATCTTAGCGTGCTTTGGCAGGGTCAGGCCATAACAGCGGCTCCCAAGCTCAAAGTCCACTCTCTCTCCCCCTTTGTCGGGCCTTCTGTGACTGACGAGCGTGCCAACTCAGTGCTTGGAGAGTTGGTTAAAAGCCTGAGAGAACCTGCTTCCTGACGCGCACTCGTCCGACGCTTGACTGTCAGTTACGCTTCTGACAGCATCACAAGAAGTAGTCGGAAAGCTCCAAGACGAAAAGCGCAGCCTCTCATTGATGTTGCTCTAGTGGCAGTGGACAGGCTGATGAATCCTGTAGTGCCTCGCGACGAGGGTCATCGTGGCATATTGTGGACCTCCTTCAAGCATTTAGTCGCATCAGACACATCCTGTGGACACGGATGGCTGATGAGTGCGGTGGTGACATGCCGTAGTCATGTTAGCTGCCGATTCCCAGCTGATGATGGCATAGAGCCCGGGTTCAGAAGTGCGGTGGTGAGCGGAGGAGAAACTCTGGCACTTAACAGATTTCTAGACACCAAATCGCAGCGGCCAACCGTTGCTGTTGCAGCCGCACAGCCTTCAACGACATCGTCGGCCGGAAAGCATTCTATTCAATTGCATTCTTTGCAATTAGTTCATAAACTTCATTCAGTTCGGTGTATTGGGTATGAACACAAACGATGTATACGCATAGTGTGTGCGTATGTGTGTGTATGTATATATATATATGCGTATTATTCATGTGCAAATGTGGGTAATTTTCCTGTACATATACATA